CTGACTATATATCCTTGGCTGATTCAGTTCAGTGCAAGTCATCAGAGTGAACTCAGAAAATGGCAAAGAATGTACATAGTTATGTTGTGTTGTTCAACATATGTGGTTATACATTAAAATAAGTTGTAAGAATCCTCAATATATTTTTCTCAATAAATATAATGGGTAGATCATTTTGACTTGGTCATTTCAAAAGTAGCTCCCATGCTGAAAAAGTGTGAGCACCCCTGATATACAGGATGGTACATAACTAAATCCGTAAAAAAATGCAGTAGAGTGGACTCCTCCTACAGCTGAAATTCCAAAAATGAAGAGTAAATATTAGATTTTGCATCAGGTATTGCATTTACCAAGGAAAAAACTAAATCTGACAGATTATCTCATAATTACGAGCTACTGATCTTGTAATTATGAGATCTTATCTCATAAGTATGAGATCCTATCTAAATATGTTGTTATGATTACTTGAGCCATCTCTTAGAAAATTGGTCTCCATGATTACTTCTTAAAAATATCTGCATCTGTTTCCCTGAACGGTTCTCTGTACCGAGGTCTGACCTGATACTCGTTGGATCTCCGCTCCTGTTTTTCACTTCATCAATAAGTACCCAGCTATAACCAGGGATTACTACTTGTGGAATTAGCATGCAGCCATATGACCATACGAGAAAATCTGTCAACAGCTCTGTTAATACAGATTCTGTATGGTTTTAGTTTTTCATTTGAATCGATATGCAACATAATGTTGGGACCTGGTCATTTTAAATGATTCTGAAGGCTCAGCTGTACTCCTTGAGGATTTAGGATTTTAAGAAGATACCGGCAGACAGTCTTTGGTTACCCCACCATTACAGCTGGAATGCATTTAAGATGGTGGGAGGATCATCCACCACAGACAATATAAGTAAAAAAATTCCATTAATCTACACCATTTTGGTGAGTATAGTGGGACACGTGAGTAAAAACACCCAAATGCAATCTATGTGAATATGATTGATTTTTTTTTCTGTTAGATAAAAATAAATAAATAAATACTTTTAAAGACTGACAGGTTTGAATGGTAAAAAAACCCAAAAACTTTTCAAGCTATTTAACACAAACGAGATATAAATTTGGATAAAGTCATGTAGTTGTCTCACTGTTCCAAAAAAAACAGCAAGGCTATATCAATGCAGAAAGATAACAGAATATCATGCAAGTATTTTCAGTTTTATGCTGAGAAAGTAAAGTGCTAAATGGGTGGATAAAGCCCCTTTCACAACTTAACGATTTAGACGAGTGTATGCCTGACAAACGGAAAATCTAGCAAAAACGCTGGCATACGTTGGATAAGTTATGGGTACGTTTTGTATAAGTTATGAGCATTCTGAAGTATGCTGAAGCACTCTGAAACACACTGGCACACGTCAACATACAGTAAGTACGTCGAGTAATTTTCAGCGTGCTTAAAATTTCCCGACCTATGCCAGCGTATGCCATACATGGGCCATAAGTTACAGGCAGGTCATTGGATCGTTGACATTAGTTAAGTGTAAGTTATTCATAAGCCGTGCTGCTTTTGCTTTTCACAAGGTGTGAACGGGCCCTTAAGCAGCCCACTTTTCATTCAGTGTTGTTGATAATGCGATATTATGTGGAGCCTTATTCTCTTAGAGCCTCTTGTAACTTAAGTGGATAAAGCCTTTGCTTGTGGACAGTTTTGGAACACTATCAATGAATCTGTCTTGATCCTGGCACTGATGGCTGGCCTGATTGCTCATTCCACTCACCTGTTTAACTCTGCCCAGTTTCTCATTACTGCTTACCTGATCCACCTGTTTTCAGCTCCTATATATACTGTGTGTTTTCCAGCTACCAGTGCCAGAATATTCAAGCTGTTTGGTGTGAATAGGGTGACCAAACGTCCGTATTTCCCGGGACATATCCGTATTTCACATCCTGTCCCAGGTGTCCCGGGTTTTTTTTAGAAAGTGAAATTACGGTACCTTAATTTGACCATTAAATTTACAGGGGCTAGGGCACTGCGCATGGTGCTGCGTGTGACGTAATCCCTGAGACGCGTGAGTGCGGGCAGCCCTGTTCTTAATCAGAATATAGATTGCGTGGCTATCAGTACGCCAACAACATGCCAAAGCGCAAATGTATGTTTACCAACGATTTACAAAAGAGTTTCCCCGCTTTCAGACCGGGTCGAGACAAACGGGAGGCCTTGTGCACATATGTCTCGGTGTCCAATGGAGGTGCAAGGAATCTGAAAAGCCACCTGGACTCCGAAAGTAAAGATAGTCTATTGATATGTTTGTTCATTTTTGATACATTTTGAATAATTTTTGCTACACAAGAGGTATTTTTTGTTAATTAGCTCATTTGTGAATTTATCTTTTCCAATATCCTACAGAACAGACATTATTTCGTTCATTACTGAGGCTGAGTATCATCTGTTATTGGGAGTTGAGAGTTATTGTTAGCTTTTATTGTTAAGTGAGGGATGTTTAGATGAGACATTGTTTCTTTCATTGTGCTTTTCATTCATTGTGCTTTTCATTCATTACAGGAATTGTTAAGAATTTTTAATAAATACATTTTGAATGAAATTATCGTTTGTTATTGGATTTATTGCTGTTGACTTTTGCTGAAAAGCATTTTTTAATAAATCAACTGTAAATATCATGTTATTGTAGGATTACGTAGGTCTATGTTAAGTGTGTGCATGCCACAGACATCTCTATGCATGGGAACAGAGATCTGTTTCTGTCCTGTGGATCCCAAGTTTTGCTTTGCTCTAGTCTGCTCTTTAATCTGCTCTGTTCTGGACTGATTCCTGGATTCGGCTGGCTCACCAAACTTGGACTGTTTTTCTGACATCGGCTTGGATTCCCCTTTTGTACCTCATCGGCTTTCTGATCTTCTGGTCTGTGAACTTGGTTCTGCTACGACTTCGGCTTTGGACATTCCCTTCAGGACTCTGTTGCTCCTCGGCCACGGCTTGCTTCAGCTCCACTCAGAAACAGGATCCAGTTTATCCGCCCCAGCTGACGAGCAGCCATACTGAGTGTTCAATAAAGGCTAGTTTTGAACTATCCAGATCTGTCTGTTTTTGAATATTGGGTCCAAGGTTTTGAACTCATTACAGGATGTATGGAGCACTACATCATCTCTCCTCTCAGTATGAGTGAAAAACCAATGTCAACATTTCGCTTCCCAACCAGTCTCTCCCACTCTGTACCTGCAGCAAATCAGAAAGCAGCCCACATTCTGCTGCAGACAAAGTGAGATAATGAAAAGTTGCTTTGATCGATGGAGTTCTAGTAGCATGCTGTCTTAGACTGCAAGTAATGTTAAGATGTTACCAATATGTTAAAAGAAATTTACTGAAAAAAATAACTCTGTTGCTAAAGCAGTTATTAGGAATCCAGTTACTCCCAAAACTGGTAATAATACGACTATAACCAGTTATCCCCGTCTGGTTCATAGAGTCACTGGCTAGGCCCTTATGCTTAGAAAGCATCTGGTGAAAGTGCAGAAGAAGGACTCTGTTTTAAACGGGGACATCCAACCAAACCAGAACCTTCAGAGTCACCAACCATCTGCTGTGGCCAACTGGGGGTGTGTGCAGTGATGCAAACGAAGTTCTGTTTTTCTTCAAGGTTCACAAAGGTCTCAGTTTGTTCACTATGCTCCATTTTTTGCACGGAAACTTACATTTCAAATGATATTCTTTCAGGATGGCATCTGGATGTGGAGTGACGGTTCTAAGTTTGTCTCTGCTCCCTGGGCTAAAAACGAACCAAACAACTTTGGTGGAGATGAAGGGTGCATGGACATCAGTAAGTAATAATTACTTAACCTGTTGGAGAGGCATTTATATTTCTGTACAGTCTCCATATCCTGAATTTCATCTGCTGCTCATAATGTTCTGTTGCTAACCAAATTATTGTACATCTTTATTTCAAAATACATAAAGGATCAAAAACAAAGGTAATTTTACAAAGATTAATATACAGGATTTGTGTTTTTGTGTTTTTACAGAGAACGGTGATGTAAATGATCAAAGCTGCACCGATAAGCTTCCCTTCATCTGTGCCACAGTCCAATAACTGGTCTTCTTCTGATTTCCTGCTTGTAATGTTAATTTCAACTATATGTGAAGCCTTGATTACACCACTGCTGGAAAACTACATGAAAAATTTGTTGACCTTTAAGTTGATCACTTCAATAAACAATTATCTTTTTCTGCAATCTGATTGTTCAATTTAAACGCACAATGGGTAATCTTCAGGGATATCTAATGGTCAAACAACAGCGACATGAATGGTCCGCTCGTCCTACCCACCACGTGGTTTGGGATGGCCTTTAATGTGGTGGACCCTCGGAGGGAATGTCCAAACAGAGGGTTGGTGTTTAGGGGCCAGTTTGGGATTCAGACTCAGTCTCTAGATCCTATCCTTGCCTGGCCATTGTTTCTTCCTGTTCATCTCCCTGGCAGCTCCTCTGATGTCACACAGTCCTCCTCATGGTTGGCTGCAGCCAGGCCAGCTGACAGCCTTGACTGGGCACGGGACAAAATCTAAAGAACTGACAAATGGGGGTCAATTCATATTTTGTATAGTCTTGATTGATCAATCTTTGAAAGAGTTCTTGCCTGAAATGTTAAATTTTTTAAGTAACGTTTTATGGAAGCAAGAGAAACATATAATAGTTAATTAAAAAGGTGAAAAATATTTAATTATTTATCAAGGACACAAACAATTAGATTTATTTATTGCATGTATCTCAAGTAACATTTAAATATTTACATTTACAAATAAAGATCTTTCCAGTTTTTAATTTATGAAATATGCTGCACACTTGGCTTTCCAGACCTGCTCTAGTCACATTTTGTCATGATTTTCTTAAGGGATCTGACCCACATGCAGTAAACCACTCAGAGAACCAGGGTAAAAGTTTGAACAGGTTTATTGATGAAACCAGTGGGGTGGGTTCAGGAATCACAGTGAACTGGTGAACTGGAACTGGAGAGGGAAGGGAAGTATCAGTGGTTAGTTCAGGATCCGTGGGAACTTTGAACGATGACTTGGAGAGACAGAGAAAACGGGACTCACATTAGTGGAGAAAACTTTCCTCCCAGAATCCAGTCGGAGTGGGTTTTTCCAGAGGTTGAGACTCGTTGAAGGGCGGACAGGTATAGACTTGGGTAGACCCAGAGGAGCTATTGAGCGGCCTGTCACTTGGGAATCCAGGAGGACTTGAACAGAAAACGTGAAGGTTTATCCCCTGCTCAGTGTGAGACTCAAATAATCCTTCCAGGGGGAGAAGGCCAAACATCCAGCTGGCAGGAGGGCTTCCTGCCGAAAGGGCAAAGACAAAAACTAGGTTAAGCTCAGCGAAAAACAAAAACTAAGTTAGACTCAGCAAAACTCAGCTTGGCTAGAGTACCCAAAACTGGCAAAAAATCTGGCGTGGAGGTAGTGACAGTCCATGGCTGAAATAGTCCTCAGTGATGAGTCAACCAGCCGCAGCTGTGTGAGAGGACCAACGAGGACAGGGCACCACCTGGTGGTGGAGGGAGAGAAAGACACAAAACACAACCCACACCAACTGGATTCCTACACATTTACATATTTTTACTTGTGTTACATGTTTAAATTTGACCACAAAATGTTCTGGTGACTGTACACTAGGATTATCTATTTATTCACTTTAGACACAGCATTGTTGCAGCTATGACGCACCATAGTCAAATTCAAAACTTCACAAGCTCTTTACAATACCCATTGGTCCGGTTTTATTATAGCTTCATCTAGCAAGAGAGGGAACAAAACCTTGACAGAAACTGTTGAGTTTTTTGCTCCATCAAAGCATTTAAGCTATGACTGCCTATTGAGGCTTTTGCAGTTGAGGGCGATCTAAAGTTCTGTTCGATCTAATGCTGTTCCTGAGGGTTGAGGCAGGTTCTTCAGGTGAGAGACGCTGTACCATTCATGTTAAAGAGATGGAGCTGCTGCCGACTGTGCACAGAGGGGTAGATGCAGTTCTATATTTTCCTGTCTCCACCAGCAGGACAGCCAGCCTTATGCATATCAGCTTTACAAACATCAGAGAAACTGCGTCTGTGGCATAACCAGTTAAAAGGAATGGCTGGTGGGGGTACTTCCTAATACTTCAGTGGACAAACTTAAGAATAAAGCTCCAAATCTTTAAGGAATAATATTTGTGGCAAAATATGAAGGGGGTTCACCATATACAGAAATTTTCAGTCAGTCAAAAACACAAATATATAGATTGAAGAACTAAATATGACATAGGATAAAGTAATATTCGTATTGGGTGTAGTCTATAAAATGTTCATGTTGACTCCATTTACTATATTGTTTTTATTTTAAGAATATGTTTGACAACAGTGATAAACTAGATGAGAACATTTATACACCGTGAAACAATGAGATAAATTTTTTTATTGAACATTTTGAAAAGAGCAAGGAGCCGTTGGCTTTTAGCCAAAGGAGTTTACACTGTTGTCATAATCTTGTTTTGAATCAAATGCTCTCGTGTTTTATTTTAAGCAACACCACTTGCGATATTCAGCTATAACGTGTGAAGTAAGGAATAAAAGGACAACTCTCAACTTTGATAAAGATAACACATCTCAAGTTTCACATTTAGTAGGTTGGAATTGAGGCCGAATGAACTCCGTGTGAGCTTCCGGTACAGCTACATTGGCACGACACCGGTAGTTGGCCAGCTCAGCCCAGTTATGGAGCCCTTTCTCCCGGTGTTCTCACACTGATTCCCCTCTGCTACTGCCTGAGCTCAGGAACAATGTCTCCCCTTCCCTCCTGATCCCTTCCAGGTGATTTGTCTCCCTGTTTTGGGCACTCTGACCAAAAATAAACATGGGTCGGGGGCAGCAGAAAAATTTGAGTCCTCTCAGAAAACCCCCAACAAAAAACAGAACCAGCATTTTGAATTGGTCATCTTCATAATAACCAGGCAGTTGCCGGTGTAAGTCTAGTTTTTATAAATAATATTTCATCCTTTTATTAGTATGTATAGGATTGTATAAAGGTTTAGAACAGGGGTCACCAACGTGGTGCCTGCGTGCACCAAGGACCACATGGGGTGCCCTCAGCATCTTCTTAAAACAGAACAACTCACCAGTGGACTAAGTTTGAAATTTTATTTTATGCTGCTGCTCTTTTTTTTTTAGTCTGGGTGACATTCTGAACTTAGTCCTGCCCACAACATTTGAGGTCGGGAAGTTCGGTCTGGCATTGCTCCATAGTAGCGCGAGTATTCTTGCACAATATCTGGCGGGCCAATCAAATTGTCAGGGCGGGCTTTATACGATGATGGACAGATGATCAACAGTAACGTCACCAAAGCGCGCTTGGGTGACAACAACAATGGCTGCCGCTGGAGAGTTGAGGTGAGTAGATTCTGCTATTAGGTCTGTTCTAGAAGATATCGACAGCAAATTAATTTTAAAAGAGGAACAGAGAAACGCGATCAAGGCATTTGTTGAAAAGAAAGATGTTTTTGGCATCCTTCCTACCGGATTCGGCAAAAGTTTAATTTATCAGCTGGCTCCCTTGGTCGCTTAACATACACTCCGTTGCTCTTATTGGTTGTAGGTCTATCAAATTGAGTGCAGAGGCATTTTTTTCCTGGTTCGTTCGAAACACGCCCCATAATCACAGCTCTATGGAGCAGAATCAGGCTCATATTCTGACTACAATTGAGTAGGACTACGTCAGGCTATTATTTTTTATCATATATAGAGCATTTCATTATATCAATAATTTTGGACATTAAAGCATTCATAGAGATTTCAATTGCCTAAAAGAAAATTAGAAATGAAAATAATCAATAGAAATATGTTTATTACCTATAAAGTTAAGTTGAATGCTGACTCTTCCAGTTTATAGGTCAGTATTGGTAGCCCGTCCTATGATTAAGTACCCATGAAGTAGCCCTCAGTCCTAAAAAGGTTGGTGACCCCTGGTTTAGAACAAGCTTCTGATGTGTGTGGATGTGAGGAGGACGAGGAGGAGGATGGGTTGTTTTGAATAACAGCAGCACATTTAGCAGTGACCCTTTTCTCGGCCTCTGCTGCTATTTTGGGGCTAAAGAGGATTATCTTCTTAAACCTGGGACCAACCAGTGTTGCCAGTGAGAATAGCTTATCTATGTGATGATCCTGGCACTGGAGGTGACTCAGTCTGCTATTATCACTCTGGTTCAATCTCCACCCCCTTTGCAATCATCTCTACTGGTTTCACTTGTCACCACCTGCATATAAGCTCCATCCTGATGAGTCTCCAGTGCCAGATCGTTTCAAGCCAATCCGGTGAGAACCTTCCAGCCTGATTCCTGAATACCTGTCTGTTTGCCTGCCTGCCTGCCTGCCTGTTATAGATCCTGTCCTGTCCCCTGATTTTTGAGTCTGCCTGACCCCTTCTTGGATTTGTCTGCCTGCCTGAGACCAGCTCTGTCAGTCTCTGGATTCTGGATTGATAACCTGTGCTTTGATCCGCTTCTGCCTGTAAGTTACTGAGCCTGCCTGCCCCCCTTAATGTTCTGAGATACATGGAGATCGAACCTGGATCTGAAACTGGACCAACCTGGTGGATATTCCCTCTGCTCATCTGCTGGATATCTTAATCAATCTCTGGACACACTACCTTTCCCTGGCTTACCCTCAGAGTCCGAACTCCATGCGAAGACAGGTTAGTCCATCAGACAGTCTCAGCTCAAACCTGCCAGTGCTGCCTCTAACCTGTCCCTCTGTCTCCAGGACATACCAGTCTGCACACAGAAGCTGTATGCCCGAGAGTCAGCGTCTCTATCACCTGTGTTCT